GGGCAGGCAGGGAGGGGGAAAATGAGCTGATACCAAGGGCTCGAGTAGAAAGCAAATGTTTGAGAAAATGATGATGGCAACCTATGTACACATGTGCTTGACACCATGGATGGATTGTGGGAAGAGTGGTATGAGCCCCCAATGATTTTTTAGAAAGAGCTCAGTTACGGAGTCGGAAGCTTGGCGCCTCGCTGAGGAAGCTCCTGTCGGTTGCTCACCCATGGAGTGGTGGCTCTCTGCCTTCAGTGCCATCCTGAGGGACCCTGTCTGTGAAGGCATCCCTCCCCTCCTGGAGGGACATTTCCAAATGTGCTCACCACCACTAGCCGCCTCACCCTCCCCCCTCCCCCCTTCCAGGAGCTTCACCTCTGCGTGTCCCGAAGGCACTTTGCTGTGGAGCGGGGCTGCCGGCTGCGTGGGCTGCCCCCAGGCAACTATAGTGTGCGCGTGAGGGCCACCTCCCTGGCGGGCAATGGCTCCTGGACCGAAGCCACCTATTTCTACGTGACCGACTACTGTAAGTCCCCACGGCTGCTTAGGCCGGCTGGGTCTGTGTTTAGCCCTGGAACAGGTGAGGGCAGCTTAGATTGTAGTAACGCTACCCCTGGCCTTGCCCGTGCGGTGTGATGGGGTCAAAACCATGGCCGTGGAAGAAAGGCACGGTGACCTCCCACAAAGGACCAAGCACAGGGAGCTGTGCTCTGCGCGGCTCCTGGAGGGGCCTGCCACGTGTGAGTCAAGACGCCATGTGTGTGCACTGCTGAATGTAAGCTGGTGATCCGTCCCGTCAGCCTGCACCTGGTTCACAGCAAGACGTGAGGCATGGGGAGGGTGACAGCCAAGAGGACCCAGTGGAGCTCAGTCCACTCTGTAGCACACGGGCGCTGTGGGGTGGCATTGCCTCTCAGTGTTTGGTTTTGGTTGGCCCAGTAAGCAGTCACTTCCCAGCTCCAGGTTCCTCCCATTCTGCTTCCTGACTTACACTGGGAACTGAAACCAACAAAACACCATCCTGTGCCATCGAGCCCTTTTGGGGTTCTGAGCAGACAGCCTCATCTTTGTCCCTTGGGGTGACTGTTGGGTTCGAACTGCTACCCTTGTGGTTAGCAACCCAACATGTAACCCACTATGCCGCCAGGGCTCCTGAGAGTCCATGTACATGGGGCCAGAGGGTATGTGACCCTTTGTGTCTGAAGCAAAGGTATAGATGGGCCGGTCACCCAGTGAGAGAGGCAGGACCCCCTGGCACTAACTGGTACCCTATCCCCCTGTCGGGGATGGTGGTGGGATCAGAATCAGCTAGAGAATTTCCAGGGCCCAGAAAAGATGAGGCTTTCTACTCTGTAGAGAATTACCACCCCAGAAACCAACAGGGCCAGTCGTACGCTGCCCTGTAGGGTTACCGGAGTCGGAATTGACTCAGTGACAGAGAGTTCGGTCTGGATGCAAAAGGCAACAGTGGGTGCCTTGTTCACAAAGCAGTTTCAGGCTCTCCAGGAAGTCGAGGCGGACTATTCAGCTGAGCAAGGAGTAGAGAGAGACCGACTGACCAGGCCACCTGCCAGGGTGTGTGCTGGCTCTTCTGGAGTGCGGTGCTCCTAGCGAGCCATTTCAGGATTGTCAGCAGAGGGTTTGAGAGACCAGCCGAGAGAGGCTCAGGGCCAGGAGAGGCAGGCCACGCTGTGACCGCAGATTCCGTGAGCGAACCCACACTGATGTGAAACCGCTCTTGTCTTGCTCTGTGCCAGTGGATGTTCCGTCGAACATCGTGAAGATCATCATCGGCCCCCTCATCTTCGTCTTCCTCTTCAGTGTTGTGATTGGGAGTATTTACCTGTTCCTGAAGAAGAGGTGAGTGTGGGCTCCTGGCGATGAGGCATTGAGAGATACAGATACAGATGTGGGCCCTGGCCGATCCAGGCGGTTCGCTTGGCTGCTGATGGGGATGTGCAAGTTCACCCACAGGGGCCTCGGAAGAAAGGCCTGGTGATCTGCTTTCAAGGGTCACGGCCTTGAAGACCCAGGGAGCGCTGTTCGGCTCTGAGTCGGAACCCACTCTGCCAGCGGCTGGTGTGGGCTGCGGGCAGGAGTGTCGCCTCCCAGCATTCCCTGGGGCTTGTAGGCAGGCGTGTCTGTGCTCTTCTCATCCAGACATCTTGATGGGCCCATGGGACCGCTGTACGCGTCTTCAAACCCTGAGTACCTCAGTGCCAGTGACGGTGAGTACCCCCCCTGCTGTCCCGGTGCCTCACTCACAGGCTCCGGTCAGCCTCCAGCAGGCTAGCTGGGGTGGCTTTGCAAGGGCTCTGTGGGTTCAGGCCAAGCCCCAGGCCCAAAGAGCATCTTGGGCTTCTGCTTGGGTCCCTCTCACTAAAGCGGAGGGTGTCAAAGCTAATCACGTATGTAGAGTCAAGGCTTGGAGGGGGTAGACCCCACCACGCCCCTGCTGGGCAAACCAGTCCCAGGAGGTGGCCTGCTATTTCAGCCTGGCCCAGCCTGCCCCCTGTCCCCCCCAACCCCCTCCAGCCCTCTGGGCAGCAATCACCTCTTCTCAGAAGTAGCATCACTGCTGCTACCAGGGTTCTGGAATCAGACAGGGGAGTGGGGTCCTGGTACCCCGAGGTCCTCGTTGGGGCAGCTTGGCCGAGCCACCCATATAGAGGATGGCGGAAGTCACGTCATGAGGGAGCTCCACGGGGGTGGGGGGACTGGGGAGGGGGAGATTCCTGGACTCGGGTGGAATGGGCGGGGGACCTTAGGGAGGGCGCGAGGACTCCCCAAGATGAGTCAGGAGCAGTGTTCCCCTGCTCGGTGTACGTGCCGGACGAGTGGGAGGTGCCTCGTGAGAAGATTGCCCTCCTGCGGGAGCTGGGCCAGGGCTCCTTCGGCATGGTGTACGAGGGCAACGCCAGGGACGTCATCAAGGGCGAGGCGGAGACCCGAGTGGCCGTGAAGACCGTGAACGAGTCAGCCAGCCTGCGCGAGCGCATCGAGTTCCTGAACGAGGCCTCGGTCATGAAGGGCTTCACCTGCCACCACGTGGTGAGTCTGGCCCTGCCCCCCCCTGCCCTGGACACTGGGCTGGGCCCCAGAGCATCCTAAGTGTCAGGGCCCCTCCCCAGAAACCACCTCTGTTGTTGCTTGCCACCGTTCCTTTGGCCCCAGCTCATGGTGAGTCAAGCCAGGGGAGCCACGGTGGCTTTTATTGGGTCGTGTTGAGAAGGCAGTCACCAGCCCTTTCTCCCTCGTCAGTCTTGGTCTGCAGGCTCCCTTGAAACCTGCTCGGCCTCTTAGCCACACCCAAGCCTCCACGAACAGATGGGAGGTGCATGGACCTAGAGTCAAACTGAGCTCTCCCCCACTGGACACCATTGAGTGGTTTTGTGATGCTCAGGAGCCCTGGGGGTGGGGGTAGGGGTGGGGTAGTGGGATTCGTGCTGAGCTGATGACCACGCACAGGGTCTGCAGTTCAAACCCTCCTGCAGCTGTGTGTGGGATGGAGCTGAGGTTGTTAACTCTTCTCCCCTGTCCTATCAGGTCGCTGTGAGTCAGAATTTGACTCCATGGCAGGGACCTTTGGAGCTTGGGTCTGGGTTGGGTGGTCAGCACGGGGAGTGCACTTGGCACAGTGGTTAAGGGCTGAGCTGCTAGCCAGAGAGTTGCCCGTTGCAACCTCGAGCAGCTCCACAGAAGAGAAGGCCTGGCGATCTGTTCCCAGAGCCTCACTGTGCGGTGCAATCAGCTAAACAGCAAAGATCAACCCAACCCCCCCCCCCAACACACAACCCGGGGGGTGGTGCACTGCAAAAAGTCTGTGAGAGAATGGAGTTCAAAGATGATGGCATTTCCTTACAAAATGTTTGAAGCCCCCTCATATATACTTTATAAGAAGTGTTACACATACCATCAAACATACCACCGTAGATTATAAAGTTAGTCATATAACAAGGGTAGTATAAAATGTATGTAAATAAAACATTAATGGGTAGCAAAGGAAAGTTGTCAAAAGAAAGTTGGTAAAGAATATGGATAGGCAATTCGAGGAGGAGGAAAAGAAAAGGAATGCAGAAGACCCAGGTCTTCGTTCCTTAGTGCTGCTGGGACAGAGCTACCACAGTGGGGGGCCATGGGGGGGGGCTGTAACCAACAGAAAGTGATTTTCTCTCAGCTTCGAGGCTAGGAGAAAGACCCCGAGCTCCAGCTCTGGGGAGGCCTTCCCTGTCGGCTCTGGAGGGAGGTCCTTGTCT